CACACACACACACACACACACACACACACACACACACACACACACACACACACACACACACACACACACACACACACACACACACACACACACACACACACACACACACACACACACACACACACACACACACACACACACACACACACACACACACACACACACACACACACACACACACACACACACACACACACACACACACACACACACACACACACACACACACACACACACACACACACACACACACACACACACACACACACACACACACACACACACACACACACACAGATGCATGTTTCTCGCGCTCATGCACGAGAGAACTACGGACTTCCCGTAAGAAAATCGTCAGAATTTTCCGCCGCTGCGCACACATACAGACGGCAACCGGCAGGAAATCCGCGATAATCACGCGTCGAGTCCAAAGTTTCCGGATGCACTCGCTCGCTTGATACGAACTCGTGATCACACGGTGAGCGAGTGAGTTTCGGGTCGACAACTTGAGTTTAATTTTAAATATGACATTACATTTGTAAAAAAAGAAACTCTTGCACGAAGTCCAGAGTTGCTAACGCGAGCTCGTAATCGTAGAGTGATCATCTACACTAAAAAAACATGTTTACTAACTGCGTAATCACACGAAGAAATAATTACTATAAATTATGGCCAGAGTAAAGAAATTTTTTAAATTAAACTTAGGAATAAAAGGACAATGTAAAAGCTTTAAATTTTGTAGATACCTAACATTGATAGTAGATCATACTTGGCTTCCAGAAAATAAAAGTTTTAATTCCGGAAAACAAGAGTTGAAATCTAGGGAGTGGTTATTTACTATCTTTTTGAGTTTTATTTTAAATATTTCTTTATCTTTACAGATAGGATAATCTTATATATCTTTATTTTAAGTATTTCTTTATCTTTACAGATAGGATAATCTTATTTTCTGAATCTTTAGATATTTGTATAAAAAAATGTATTGTTGTTAGAATTCGCTAGCATCCACCATTATTGAGAAAGTAGAGAAAATATAATTTTTGAGAGAATAAAATTGAATAAATAAAATATTATATCTTTTCACTTTCTTCAAAATTCCGAAATTAAAATACTGTTAAAATATTTTGTTTCTGGCGAAAATTACGTCCCTTAGTAAGATAGATCTCACTGAGCCTATTTGACTGTTAGAAACTCAATAATATTGAAAAAAATTTATATGAAAAAAA